TGACAATAAAAATGACGTTACTTTACGCCACCTTGGCTTATATAGGAGGAATTTGTCCACGTTGGAAGTAACGCAATGCAATACCATTGTACAACACACTGGTCACGGCATCACGGCCACTCATGATTTTACTGCTAAGGAATTAGTAAGCACGGAAGAGATAAGGAAATGGACCGTTTAGTTCGTAGGCGGAGCAAGGACAGACTCCTGAAGAGAGGGGGCGCGGTGGGGAGGAGATTCCCCACTCCCCACCCTGGAACTATGCAATTAACTCGGTAACCAACTTAATTAACTTGGTAACCAAACTGAGCAAGAAGCAGTGTTCCTCTAAGGACGTCTGCTGTTCATGTACGAGCTAGCGAGCGTAAATTGAACGTAGGCATGTATTCTGGGTACAGGCGCAACAAATGTTCAAACTGCAATACTGTCCTTATCGTTCTCTCAAGCTGATCGGACAAGCGCTTGGAGTTTCAGCCCTTCAAATCGCACTACACACATTAGCTGTGCTTTAGCATGCTACAAATGTCTGAGAAAACAAATATTAGAATATAAACTCAGACCAAGTGTTCATATTATAGGAAGAAGGCATCAGCAACCTCGGTGTGCGCCGCAACTATAGGGTAACCCGTTCACTTAACCAAATTAAGGAAATCATAAGCTTTGAATCCCTCTTTAAAAAGCGCAGTAAAAGATAGGTTCTCTTAAAATTTTTTTGATAATTTCGTTTTAAATTTTTTTTTTTGATTTAAAAACATTAAGATGAACTGGAACACTCCAGCCTCCTTATTGTTTTGTTCTGAAAAATTTACTTCTGCATCAGAGAAGCCGATGAGAACAAAAAATGGAGATCCATTTAACTGCTACCCCAAAGTCTCGAGAAAAAAAATTCAACAGACGCCTTAGAAAATACATTATGCAAATCTCATTTGCTTCCTCTCTCAAGTTCCTCTGGTCCTTCCGGGGGAAATTATTAAAATTTGGTAATTTTGCGCCGATCTAATTTTCTTGAAGAGCAAGACATGTTCATTAATCACTGGCTAGTCACCAAAAATTTTAAATATACTTTGAGTTCTAAAACCCACTGCAAGTAGGCGCGGATGTTACTGCAAACTGTGAAAATTTGGCTTCTGGCTAATAAAACTAAGTCAGATCTATACTAGCACAAAGAAAATACACTGTGTATCGAAAGGTTAAAAACGAGGAAAGAGAAGGAGATGCAAGGGGTAATAAAAACGAAATCAAATATAAAATAGCCGATCCCTGCTCAACAGAAAGATTTACAAGAGGACGGGGAGGGGGGAAGGGAGAGAAAGATTCAAACAGATGGCAAGCGTATGTAGTGCTAATCCGCAAGTCAATCTCGCTTCCACCAAGTTACCAAGCGCCGGCATGGGCACTCGGCCTCTTAACCGCGAAAGAATAAGTCTCCACTTCTTCAATTCAATCTTCGGGGTCGCCAACACCAGTTGGGAGGCAGTCGAACTCAGTAATTTCGAAACTCATCGCAGCAAAACTTGTCAAATTTTGCTCTCCAGCAGTATTTTAATCAGTGCAAATGAGCGAAAACCGGCAAAATGTATGGAGCTGTCAAAGAATGTAAGGCAACGAAAATGAGTAAGGAACAACATGCACGAGCAGGAAATGAAAATTCAAATCTCTGGAGACAGCGTGCGATACGGCTGCTACTCTCCAGTGATATTATCGTCCAATCACGGTATCATATCGGGGAAAAAAATCATACCCTGAGCGAATGGGAGATCAGGCAGCCTGTTCTTTTTTATTTTTCACCAGTTCTGCGAGATATTTGAACCTGAAATTAGAGGTACAGAGAGTAACAAAGCCATTAAAACAGCTTATCGAGCTCATCTGGCTGCAAAAACTTCAGGTTTCGTGATCGCAAAGTAAACACTAATAAAAAAACAAGGGGTTGAAACACTTGCAGCGAAAGGAACTACGAGGGAAAGCGCGCAGCAGTAAATGTTGATATGCATTCTGCAAACCGTCGCCACAGTAAGCACGGCCATACCAGAGACAAACAAATTACCTTTTAATGCAATCATTTTTCGATTTTCCAACAAAGCTAGCGATATTGTCCCAACGTGCCGAATCAGTGCGAGGGTATTTTCTCAAAGCTGCTTCCAGCAATTTCTGCTCTTCTGCCGTCCACTCCAGTTCACTTCGTTTCCCCGAACTTACGGCACATTCCCGCAGTTTTTGATCCTGCACATCCCTCAGTAACTTTGCCTTAAAAAAAACTTAAATTATTTTGAGGACAGCGATCAATATCATACAACAGCAGCAGAGGAAGGCATGCATAACTTGTACAAATCGAAATCTGCTAACAAAAGCTGGCTGATTAACTCATAGACAAACCTGCACCACAACGTCCTTTTCGGTTTTTTTCACATTTTTATCCGCGCAATGCTCATTGATATAATTTGCAACTTTCGTCCATCTAAAAGTATTCCATTTAATATTCAATAAATGAAAATTCCTGCAAAAAATGCAAAGGAATTGCATAGTTTCAGTTGCCAGAGTTCATACTCTAAGGTTTGACCTGAGCTACCTGTAAGATACCTCGTTTGCTGAGCAATAAAAGTGCAAATGAGTTCTCTTAACTAACACAGCAGAATCCTTTTGAAAAAGTGAAAAAGAATACCTCCTCCTCCCCCCCCCCTTTTCTTATGCTAAAAATAAGGAAGAGTCTTGAGTAAATAATAAAAAAAACATATCAGTACCTTTCGACTGTGCCTGCTGGAAAGACTGTGGTAGCTTTAACCAGTAAAGAAATCTCCTCAGATGACCAACGATTCGGTTGAGCGGGCGCATCCCCAGGGGTAGCATTTTTGGCTTTTACATTTTTTGGCACTTCATCATCCACCTGGAAGTAGCAAAATGTGAACGGAAGCGTGGCTCAGCTAAAAAATCAAAAAAAAAAAAAAGCGTATAATCAAACATGGAACAAGCAATATCGCTTGGTTAATGGCATGAATTTTTGCGCCACACTAATAAATTCACAAATCAACTGCACCAAACTCCTGCGCCGTTGGCTCTTGACCACTTTACGCTGGCTATCTCGACCATGTTCGAGTGCCATTTCTTCATAGGTTGTCCAGGAAGTAGTTTTTTTTTTTTTGAGAAAAACACTCAGTGATTTTCTCAGCCCACTGGATACCAGTAACCCACTTTTCGTCGATGAGGAATTACATCCCTACACCACAGCAGTCGCAACAAAATCCAGTACACGATGTTCATCTGGTTATGCGAGCTGGTCATGAAAAGCCCACGTTACTGATAATAACTGCATTTGCCTACCTTCAGAGCATCCAAAGCCTCAGCAATGTTATCAGCACTTTCAATTCTGGCAGTGATTTCTCGGAGGCGTTCCGCGTTAAATCGTAAGCATGCACGTTCAACCGCTTCACAGCACGCTAACTTTGCACTGATCTCGGCACCCCAATAATTCTTATTCTAAATTTCATGGACATATAGTCTGGAACAATATGCCAGGCATATTAATTCTGTATTCAGGACAAAAAAGCTTCGCTTATCCCTTTTCCCAACCATTCAACAAAGAACTGGTGGTAAGTAGGTTGGAATTCAGGACAAAAAAGAGGTTATTTTTAGCCGTATAAAAAAAAGGGTATTTTCTGGAAGCCGAACTAATCCGAACGAGGAAAAATGGTGGAAAAATAAGAAACCGCACAGTCCTGCCACCAAAAATGAGTATTCCTTTTCTTTTAAACCCACAAATTTACGATTTCCCTACATATATTAATACCACAGGCAAGTCTAAACTGTCAGAGTGTTATGCCAAACCGCTAAATAGAGAGTGTTATGCCAAACCAAACTTAATATTTCATGTGGAGTAAGCTAATGCGCAGGGGAGGCGGGAAGGGGAGGGGAGAGGGTGGAACTGGGACACAGTGTTTTGGAACATGTTTCATAAACAGTGTGACATATTGATATCTCACGTGCTGAGAATATGAAGGGATATTTATCTGTTTCATCCCTTAACTGTAAACACAGACAACTGAAGGTGTGGTTAGGGATGGGAATCACCCGCTAACCCGAGTTTCTGAGATAGTGTGGATGTGGAAAGCACAAGACTGTGTAATTAGAGGAAGCTGTCGACTGCATAAAGAGACCCGGACTATCAGAGAAAGTTATAATGGGAAAGAATGGAAAAAAGAGGCAAAAAGGAAGGTGAAAAATGAAAATTAGGAAATTTGTGAGATTATTATAATCAAATTAACAACTTTTCCATGCGTATAAATTGAAACTGGTATTTTTAGTAAAATCCCGGAACCTCAGCAGCTCTGCGCAGTTTTCTGCGTGCATCCGCCAGCTGTTTCTTCTGTGCTTCTTTCAACTTCTTCTCTTCAGCCAGCTGTTGTCGTTCTTTTTCCAGTTGTTCCTCCTTTTCTTTTTGATTTCGCAACTCAATTTCCTACAACCAAATTACATGAAGCAATGCGAGTCGGTTAAACTTTTTTCGCCCTGAAGAAAGTTAGGAAATACACATCCAGTCAGCAAATTGTTACTGCTCTGCACAATATTTTTAATGCAAACAAAAACCTTAAGAGCTGCCCTTCTTCCTCCCCCCCCCCCCCCCCCCCCCCCCCCCCCCCCC